GGGGGTGGGAGAAAGAGCATCAGAAGGGATGGTAAGCGGTGAGGTGAGGTGTGAAGGCCAGAGCTGGAGCAGGCAGAGCCTTTTAAGCTGTGTTTAAAAGCACAGGCTTTATTCTCAGAGCTATGAGGAGCCTTTTCAGAGCCTCAGGAGGAAGAGTGACGCGCCCAGATTAGCAGTTCAGACCACCTTGGCTTCAGTATAGACAACGTGTGGGGTGAGGTGCCCCCAGCTAAGTGGTGGTTTCAGTAAATTAGCATCACAGTGATGGTGGCCTGTGTGGGAGTAGCTGTCACGGGGATGGTGGAAAGAGGACAAATAAGAGAAACGTTGAGGAGATAGAATTGTTAAGAGTTTGGTGATTGGGGGGTGGGGTGGGTGAAGGAGATTAGCGGGGCCGAGGAAGACAACATCTGACTTGAGTGACACGTTCCCAAGGATTAAGGAGAGTGGTTCCAGTCTCTGAAACAGAGAACACTGGAGGGATAAAATGATCACTTCAATTGTGAACATCCCGAGTTTGAAGTGTTTCATTTAAGGATCTTCAAGCAGAAACAACCAGCCGCCATGTGGGGTCTGGAGCTCGAGAGTGGTCTGGGCTGGACATCTGTAATTACCACCTCTGTGTGGAAACCCCAGCCTTGGGATTGGCTGAGGTCGCCCAGGGGGACCGTGGAGAGTGAAAAGAGAAGAGGGCCTAGGTCATTCCTGGAAGTCACCACCATTTCAGGGCTTTGTGTTTGGGCCCGCATGCTTTAGGAATCTATAATTAGGAAGGCAGATTTTCTTGGTCGTGGATTGGGGGAAGGTATTGTGTTTTCAAAGTCAAATTTGTTGTTTTTTGTTGGTGTTGTGTTTGTTTTGTTGTTTGTTTCTTTTGTTTTGCTTTGGTTTTTACCTTATCCTACTTCTTTCCATTTCTTCTGACCCTCTGATCTCGGCTGTGTCGTCCTGGGCATGTTGCTTAAGTGTTCAGTGCCTCAGTTTCCCCATCTTTAAAATAGAGACAGTTATAGAGTTGTTATGAGGATAAAAAGAGTTAATACACAAAAGCGCGTGAAACAATCACTGGCCCACTGTATTTACTCAACAAATGTAAATTATCACCATCATCATCGTTAGCATGGACAATGGAGGGTTGACTGCAGTTCCTTTGGAGTTACCTGGCTCCAGAGGGTGGAGTCAGACAGAACTGGGTCCTAATCCTGTGTGACCTTAATTTCTCTGAGCCTCAAGCTTCTTTCTGTTCTTTAAGTGGGAATGATCACACCTACCTCGCAGTGAGATAGCATCTACATGCTCTGGCATGCCAAAGGCATTTACTAATGGTTCATTTCCTCCCCTTCCTTCTTCCAGTTGTCAGTTCAGGATCAGGGAAGTCTGGTGACTCTGACACCAAATTTTTTCCCTCCTCCTCCGCATCCTACCGAATAGCACTACAATATAGTGCTCGCTGGTTCCTCCTGCAAAGGCCTGGGGGGCAGAGTGGTAGTTGAATATTTGCAAACCCTTCTCTAAAGACTACCCTTCTCCAGAGTGACTTCCCCCCTCTCCCAATTGACCCTCTGGTCAGCAAGAGGCATCTTGGAGTTATCTTGAGAAAGCTGGACCATGGGCAGGGGTAGGGGAGACTTCTGTGGCCTGAAGGAAGGTCTCACATCTTTCGTTCTGCTGGGGGCAATGTACCCTCCTTGCTGTGGGCCCACCGGGTGAACACATACCCCTTCAGTCCCCAAGAAGGCACTGAAGTCACTCTGCCCTCCCACACGGGATTGTTGGTCCCCCTCCTCCTGTCCTCCCACAGGCCCTTGGATAAACTGGCATCATAACATCACGGTACGGTGTGTTTGCACGCTTGTCTTCTGAGCTTCTTCAAGGCAAGGCGCCGATCTGACTCATAGTCAACTCCTGAATGCGTCATCCAGGGCCTGGCACCAAGAGAGCCTTCGGTGTTGGTAGAAAGACGAAACGAACTGGCAGATGGACAGACTAATGGAGCTTGTTGAGATGGGAGCTGCAGCCTCCAACCTTACGCCCCAACTTTTTTCCAGGGGATTGGGGGGGTATAAATAACCTTTCTCCCACACCAAACCTCGATCACCACCAGACTCACAGTCCTTAAATTCTGGAGCAAGAACCGAACTCCCTCCCATCTCAACACCCCCTGCCCAGAGGCTTTTATTCACAAGACTACAATTCAAAGTGACGTAGTGCATATTTACTGAGAACCTACTGTGTTCACGGGACTTAGTGATACAGTGAGAGGAAAGAGCCTGAAAGTGTTTTCAAAAAGTGACTGTGCTTTTAACCCATCATTGACGTGGTTATGTTCATAACCGTCTTCATAAATGCAAAGTTCTCTCTGGTTCCTCTGATGGTTCTTTCTGGAAGTTTTTTAGACTTCAGCAGCAGTAGAGAGGGAACTGTGGGCAGCTCCCTAGTAAGAAATCTCCTTTCTTGCCAGGACACATGGGGTTTCCACCATGTGGGAAGTCCTGGCCCATAGGATTATCCACAGCCAAATAAATCTTACCTTGTTCTCACAGTACTCTGAGAATTAGATTCAAGTGAGTGTTAGAACCACCTTAATGAGAGGAGAGTGTATAGGAGGGCAGTCTCAGCCCTTTAATGCGGGAGTCCTCTGTCCTGTGTATTGGACCCACTTCTCCCTTGTCATTGCTCAGCACCAGTCAGCCTAGAGACTCAAGGTCTTGGACTGGACCTGCCACAACCCCAGAGCAGGTGGTCTGAGTTAGCTGCACCTCCACCACATCATCCCTGCAGACAGGACGAACTCCTAGGAACTGCTGTCCAAGGCTTAACTCTTAGCTCAGCCTCATCCCAAAGTAGCCTGTTCTCCCAATCGGCACCCTGCTGAATCCCAGGAAGGGTAACGGGGGATGTTGAGAGGAGCAAGATGGCACCGAGTGAGAAGACCCAGTGGGAATCTCCATGGCAACAGCTGCCGGAGGGGCATCCGAGGAGGCAGGAGGCACCAGCAGCACCCAGCACTGCCCTGGGAGAGCACAGAGGGAAGGCAAGATTCTGAAGGCACTGATACAGGCTCTCAGTCTGGGGTTTGGGGAGCAGAATTAGGAGGCTAGGGAGGCTGGGGCCAGGAGAAGAGCCCTTTGCAGATGGCCGGTTTGGAAAAGCAAGGCTTGAGGGCTACTGGAGTTGCTTTGCTGCAGGCTCTTCATTTAGGTCCCAGTTTTGGACCCCCCTCACTGCTGTCTTCCCCCGCTCTGTGCATCCTTAGCTCTTACCCACCACAATGACAGCGATGGCCATTAGCTTGCTGGGAGGCCACCTAATAAGGGGGCCCGCTGTGTCATAGCACCAGGAGACCTGCCAGGTACCTGCCTGCAGCGGTGGGGAAGTGCTCGGCTCTCACAGCTCTCGCCATCTGCTCCCTAGCGCCTCCCTCACCAGTCTCTCCCCCTCTCTCTGCAGTCCCACCCCCTGTACCTGTGCAACGCCAGCGATGACGACAACCTGGAGCCTGGATTCATCAGCATCGTCAAGCTGGAGAGTCCCCAGCGGGCCCCCCGCCCCTGCCTGTCACTGGCCAGCAAGGTAGACTCGCACTCGATCCCTACACACTCCGAACTTCACCCAACTCTGGGCTGTGAGGCCCCTGTGCTCTTTGTCTGCTTGTTTCCTGAGAGTGATGTGCCCAATTCAGGTTTTCCTAACCCGTGCCTGGGCTGAGAGGCGTGGCAGTTCAGGCCTCTGTCCTTCTCCCGCCAACCAGTTACCTGCAGAACATTCTGGCTGTCATCTAGCGTATGCACCCCCCCAGCCCCTCCCATCACCTGGCATTTCCTACACCCCTTCCCCTGCCCAGCATCAGAGCAAAGAGGGGATTGGCTAGAGAGCTTTTCCATCTTTCAGAAATCTTTATCGAGCACCATTCAAGAAGAGCAGAAACAGAAGCCCTTGCCCCTAAAAAGTTTACACTCTTCCTCCGAGATTGCAAACTGGTGGCCCCACATTTCTACAGGACACCACTAGCCGGAGCTGACAGCAGCTGCCACCTTTCCGCAGCCGTGGGCTCTCTGGTTTGCCATGCTCCCCACTGGCTTGCTACCTCACAGATGCTGGAATCCCTGCTTCAACATGACTGTTTTCTGTGTTTATCACCTGCCAGGTGGGACATGGGACAGATACTTTTGACATAGTAGTTCTCATTTACTTTTCACAACAATCAGGAAAACTAGACATTATTATTCTCTATTTGACATATAAGACAAGTGAAGATCGGAAAACTTCAGGAACTTGCCAGGGTGAAGGGGCGGAGCTGAGATCTGAACTGAGCCTTGTCCAGTTCTCAAACCTGGGCTGTTCGTCTCTGCTCTGTTGCCTCCCATTCTGGCTGGGAAAACTGAACATAGCTGAAAAGGTGCTCATGGTGACCTAAGCCAGAGTGTAGCTAGATGGTGGCTGGCACTGTCAGGCAGACCTGGGGGAGGGGTCCTGCTCCCAGGGGTGGTGAAAGAGGATGGTGACGGTCCCTACCTGTGCCCAGACCCCACCAGGGACTTCCTGGTCTTCCCAAGGGCTGTTTCCTGAGCCGTGGGTCTCAAGGAAACAGCCTGGATTCTTCCCTGATCCCACAGCGGGCAGGGATGTGGGCAGGACTCTGAAATGTGGTGCCCACAGGTAGGTGAAGATATTCTGCCAGCCTGGCCATGCTGATGCAGAAGAGGGCTGCAGGGGAGGTGGGAAACAGGGGCCAGGACACATCTGAGGAATAGAGAATGTGGTGTCTCTGCCAGAGTGTGAGGTCCTTAACAGTGGCAGAATTTCGTGAGGCGCAGAATTTCGTGAGGCGGAAGCTACCCTGCTTCTGGCTAGTTCATTTCCCTTGCTTTGCAGAATAGGGGCAAATGTCATTCATTTATTCATGAGCGCTTGGTGTGAGGCAGTGTGGGTGCGAGGAGGCAGGGGAGGGAGATAAGATGGATGGGGGAAGAAGAGTTCGGGGGAGATCTGTTCTTCTGAAGCACACGTGTGGGAACACTCGGCAGCCCGTAAGGAAGTGTCTGCATAGAAGGTTTTCTTCCTGTCGCTAGAGGACCACGCTCCTGTGGGAGAAATGAGCCACGTGCCCAGACATTGGGTAACAGGGAACACGTGGTCAGTGCTCTTTCAAGTACTGAATTCACCTTTGGGGGCTTTGTTTCCAGCACTGTAAAAGGGGACTTTTATTTCCTACCCCAGTGATCCTTGTGAGGATGGAAATAATGTATGTCAGGTCCATATAGTGCCTGCGCTAACTCACAGAAACGGGAACCGGCAGTGGGGCCGAAGATGCACCCTGGCTGCTGCCCATAACCTCTCTTCTTCCTTAGGTCGCCGCCCGGGCTCCTCCCCGGCCACAGCCTTTGCCCCCATCTCTCTGGGGGTGCGGCTCCCACCACAAGCTTCCCTCAGGTCTCTCATCCTTCTGCTTGACCAAGTCAGACCCACCCGGGATCCCCTGGCCCAGAGGAGGTCTGGGAAGGCAGTAATGTGGATCTCCGAGCTACTTTTTATATTTCAGACGTCCCACTGGCCTAACTAAAATAGTCTTTTTTTTTTTGCTCTTGGTGGGAATTCTATTAGTTTAATATATTAATACAAGTTACCTCATTAAAAAAATGAGGTGTGTGTAATAAATGTAGTTAGTTTGATAAGACATATTTAAAAAATTTGGCTCACAGGAAGCATAGAGGAAAGATGGGTCTTTGGTGAGGAAACTGGAAAACCACTGGCCTCAGTCAGCTCTGCTCTAGCACAACGATTAGGCTCAGTAGTGCTGTCACCGTCTGCAGAGCTGGACTCTAGAGCCAGCCAGCCCCGGGCCTGGAGCCTGGCGTCCCCACTGCCCCTCAGTGTGACAATGGACACTTCAGCTCACTCCTCTGAGCCTCTGTCTCCTCATCTGTGAAAAAGGAACGGAGGGGCTGACATCACACAAAAGTTATGAGGATTAAGGAGACCGCACAGATGTGCCCCGTGCTGAGCACACAGCAGTCACTCAATAAATGATGGCAAGTGTCACTGTTGTCATCATTGGCTCTGTCATCCCATGCTTTCCGTTAACAAGGTTGGTCTGTTTCGTTCATAGTTCTCTCTCTTGATCTCTTGAAGCCCTCCCCATAGTTTTTCTGGACTCTTTCATTCTTGTCAGCACCACCACCTCCCTCCCCCTATCCAGTCACCCGATTGGCCTCTGTTTCTTTAGCAGCAACTCCATACGCAGCCATCCTTGTGATTACACAGGCCCTCCTCATCTCATGCCTGGACTGGAGCAGGGGCCTTTTGCCCGGTAGAAGGAGCTCTGGAGGCCAAAATATGGGTACAAGCCCCGCCTCTCTTACTGTAGAGACCACTCCCTGGTACCCAGGTACTCGGAAGGCTGAAGTCCTGAGTGGGCATTCTGCCTCCACTGCTTATCAGCTGTGTGACCTTGGGCAAGTTGTTTGGTCTCTCTGAGCCTCGGTTTCCTCAGTTCAAAAGTGGGGCTGATGACCATCTTATAAGAGCTGTTGTGAGGACTAAATGAAACCAGGTACACAAAGCACAGTAATTGCTGATATAATAATAACTAATACTTACAGGCACTATGCTAAGGCTTTACATGGATTACCTTATTAGTCCTCAGAATAACCCTATGAAGTAGATCCTACAGAAAGGAAAACGGAGGCACAGAGCAGTTACGTGACTTGCCCAAAATCTCACACCTGTTAGTTGATAGCAGATTTAGGATTCAGACCTCAGCAGTCTGGGCAAAGTGGGTCTCAGTAAAGGTCATATCTCTTCTACTTCTTCCTACCCTTGCTTTTAAGCCTAGATGAATCTCTACCACGTGATTATGCGTCATTCTGGAGGGCCTGGCCTTCCCTGGCTTGGCGCCCCGGGCACCGTGGGTGCTCGGTCCACCTTTGATGAGAAGGAGATACGCAGTGACTGTCGCTGGGTCTGGAGAGGAAAAAATCTAAGGCCCGGGGAAGTGTAGAGAGTGTAGCGTAGAAGTCCTGGAACATGTTGGCTTCCATTGCTAAAGGCTGTGGGCAACCTGCTTGTCGCTCTTAGAAGGCTGGCTGACTCTTTGCAGCTCCCCAAGAGGTCTCCAGGGTGTCTTTCTAAAGCCCATTCTTTCTGTCTGGAGGGCTTGCCCTTTCTGTCTGTCTTCCAGAGTCTAATCCCAGAGGAAGTACTTCCTTTTCTCCCTCCCTCCCTCCCACTTGCTTGAGCGCAGTGCAGACAGCCCCAGTGTGGGCTGCCACCTGGCCCCAAGTCTTGCTTTTCGATTCCTAGAACCCTGGACACAGGCACCCATTGCCTGAAAGTCCTGTTTGTTTCCCCTGTTGGCCAACCCTCACTCTTTGATCACTTTTACAACTTTGTAATTATGGGCTGTAATGGGCTGGGGTGTTTGAACGTCAGGGTAATTACTTTCCACTGTTTCTACCCCAATCCTTCAAAGCGAGAGGGGTGGGGAAGTAAGAAAATCTCCAGAGAAGGAAGTCTGTGCCTGTCCCTCCTGCCCTTTCAGGCCCGGCTGGGTCCAGGGTCTCAGTCTGGGGATGAGAAACAAGGGGCCCTGGTAGCACTGAGGATCTAGGAGTCTCAGTTCTGTGACTCCTGGGGTGACCTCCCTACCCGTTGCCAAGTCCCGGACCGTGGGATTAGCAGTAGGAGGCCTTCTTCTCTCCCCATGGGGCTGCTCCCGTACCCTGGTTTGGAGGGCACTGAAGACTGGAGAGCTGCTTTTGCCTGGGGTCCCCGAGGCAGGGTAGACTTCCTGGGAGAAGGGGGGCTGAAGGAGGATGAAGGCTGTGACCCCTCGGTTTCTTCAGCTGTTCCAGCCTGGAGTCCTGTGAATTTCCGGTCAATTAGCCTGTGGGGTGGGCCGGGCCGGGCCTGGGTGCTGGTCGAGGGAAGGAGGGAGGGAGGGAGGCAGTTACCCTCCTGACCAAAGCAGGCCCCACTTGCCTGTAGGCTGCCTGTTCTGAGGGGCCCCCCAGCCCCTGCTGCCGCCTGGGGAGTGGGGATCAGGGAGCGGAGAAGGAGCCGCTCCCCTGGCCTGCTGGCGGGAGGCCTGTCCCGACAGGATCCCGGGAAGGGAAGCGAGATCACGGCGCTCCCGAGTGTGAGTAAGCCCGGCGGCTCCTCCTCCAGCCTCCACGACTTGCAGAAGGATTAACTCCTTCAGTGCCTGCTGGAAGGCCTTAACGACTCAGCAGGCCCCCAGGGACTGAAGCCCCAGCCCGAAGCCATTACATGGTGAGCCTTTGCTCAAGGGAGGAAGGCTAGAGAGGATGTTCAGGGAGGGAGAACTGGCACTGAGGCCGCAGCAAGGACTGTCTGTTGGTCCTTTGCCCTGTGCCTCCACCGCACCCTCAGCTCTTATCTTCATTCTCTTACCCCACACCCAGAGGCCTAGATTCCTGCTTTTTGTTCTCTTTCTGGCTTGGCTGTCTGCTCTGCCTGGTCGTAGCCTGGGAGAGCACGCGTGTGCGCATGTGCACAGTTCCGACCTTGTAGGAATGGCCTCTCAGGACCCTTCCTCCCTGCACCACCCCCCACCGCCCCCGTCTCTACTGCCACCCCCAGCGAGGGGGTGAAGGGGTAAAGCGCTGGACAGGGACTCCATGAAGTCCTTGAATTGGAGCCAGGGAAAGAGGTGGCAAACTAGAGTATGGCAGGGAGCGGCCCCTGAGATGGGCTGAGCCTGGGGCTGTCATAGATGCCTTGGGTGGGAGCAGCTTCCCAGGCTCTTGGAAACTTGCCCGAGGCTGGGGGTGGGGTGGGGTGGGGTGCTCTGCAGGCTCCTCTCTTCAGGCAGGGCTGGACCCTGGAAAGCCCAGCTCTGCTCTGAAGGAGCACCCCACCTCTCTGCTGTCCCCCTGTCCCTCTCTGTGCTGGGGACCAGTCACCCCCTGGCAGGTACTGGTCACTCCCTACTCTGTTCTCGCACTCAGTGAAGGTAGACCGGTGGAGCCCTGAGGGCAGGGCCTGTGTCTGATTTGTGCTTAGGCCTAGAGCCTAGCCCACCGCCTGGCACCAGCTAAACCCTATTAACGGTTTGTTCCATTTCAAAGGGAAGGACTGAATTTTGTCCTTGAAGGCAGTGGACCTGGGTGAGCTCGGGGCAGGGCGGGGCAGGGGGTCCTAATCCCACTGACCCCTTGCAGGTGTTATATATGTGAGTGTGCAGAGGTGCGGTGTGTGCCAAGTCCTAGAAAGGGACGTGTGAGCAGGGCAGGCCAGGGCATGGGTGGGCCATGTCTTTCTCTGACCCCTGCTGTGTGTCTCTGCAGGCCCGGATGGCAGGCGAGCGAGGAGCCAGCGCCGTTCTCTTTGACATCACGGAGGATCGGGCTGCTGCTGAGCAGGTACCCGGGGACGTGGGGTGTTTGAGGAGGGGGCTGAACGGAGGAAGAGAAAGTTCCCGGGGAAGGAGAAGTCAAGGCACAGCCACCGTTGTGGGCACTTTCCCTCCTGCAGCTGCAGCAGCCCCTGGGGCTGACATGGCCAGTGGTACTGATCTGGGGTAATGATGCCGAGAAGCTGATGGAGTTTGTGTACAAGAACCGAAAGGCCCATGTGAGGATTGAGCTGAAGGAGCCGCCGACCTGGGTAAGCACTCCAGATCTCCAGCGCCAGCCCGAGCACCTGCTCTCACCCTGGCTTTGTCCTGCGGCGGCTCCCACCAAAAGCCTTGAACTAAAGAGATCTTAAAACCCTCTAGCCGAACTTTATCCTCCAGCTGTACACCTCTAGGCAGGTTTCTTCCCCTCTCTGGGCCTCATCTGCAGAATGAACAGATTGGATCAGCTGAGATCTAAAGTTGTTTGCAGCACTGTGGTTTCATGGCATACAGTAGCAGAGCCAGAATGCAACCATGGTCCCTGGCCCCCTGACACCTGGCTGGTGTTTCTCTGTGAACTAGGAAACTCACCCAGCTGCTCACTGGGCAGCTCCCACCTTGCAGAGGGGTCCTTTCCCCCTTTCTCCAAGCACACAGTCTTGAGACAGTACCTCTCACGGCTGACGTCTAGCGGACCCTCCCCTGCGAGTGTCCATGGGCAGAGAGGGACCACCTAAGCCCCCCGTAGCCTCCTCCCCTCTGCTGGAAGACTCAAGGGGCCCTTCATGCTCAGTGTCTCCTGGGCTCCTGCAGTTCTCCCAGACTGGCCCCACTCCTTTCAGAAGTATGGCCCTTTCCCTCTTTGCTTGCTCCCCCAGCCAGATTATGATGTGTGGATCCTCCTGACGGTGGTCGGTACCATCTTCGTGGTCATCCTGGCCTCCGTGCTGCGCATCCGGTGCCGCCCCCGCCACAGCAGGCCGGTGAGCAGGGTGGGCTCCCTGGTGGAGGTGGGCGTGCGCGTGTGCGTGTGTGTGAGAGGGTGGGGAGCAGGAGAGAAAAAGTGAGAAAAGGAGCTGCCCTTATGCCCATGAAACAGTTTACACCTAAATAGCCCGACAAATGACTGTTGATTTCCAGCAGCCTCTTCCATAGAATGAATGCTCATCTGTTCATTCATTCAACAGAGCGAGCTCCTGTCACATGCCAGGTGCTGTCCCAGGTACTAGGGGTAAAGCAGTGAGCAGGAAGACAGATCCCTCCCTTGAAGAGCTTTCAGCCTAGTGGAGACAGACAATAACAAAACAAAGAAGTAAAATATATAGTATTTTAGGAGGTGGTATGTGCCAGGGAGAAAAATAAGATAGAAAAAGGGAGGGAATGCAAAGGGCACAGGGTTAGTTTTCAGAAGCAAGGCCAGGGAAGGCCTCATTGAGAGGATGACATTACAGGAGAGACCCTAAATGGGTGAGGGGGTGATCTGGGCAGATACCTAGGGAGAAAGTGATGGAGGCGGAGAACACAGTAAGTGCCAAGACACTGAGGCAGAAGTGTGCCAGCTATGTCTGAGGAGCTGCAAGAAGGCCCCGAGGCTGGAGTCAAGAGAGTAAGAGGGCAGAGTAGGAGGCGAGGACAGAGAGTTCATGGGGGCCCAGTTGTACTGGGCTGTTTCAGCCACGGTCAGGACTTCATTTTTCACTCTGGGTGAAATGGGAGCCACTGGACGGTTTCAAGCAGAAAGAGAGCCATGATTTAACTGATTTAAGATTTAACACGGCTGTGATGAGACAGATTACAGGGAGGCCAGGCTGGAAGCAGAGAAACCAGCCCAGAGGCTATTCTACAGGAGTCCAGGTGACAGTGGTGGTAGCTTGGATTATGGAGGAAGCAACAGAAGTGGTGAGATTAGTTAGACGCTCGGTGTACTTTGAAGGCAAAGCCGGCAGGTTTTCTAAGGGATTGATCATGGAGCGTGAGGAGAGTCAAGAATGGCACCAAGATTTCTGGGCTGAGCAACTATAAGGACAGATTGTCACTTGCTGGGATGCGGATGACAGGGGAGGACTTGTGTGTGGTTAGGGGTGGTTCGTGGGATTAGGAGTCAGAACCTGTTAGGTTCGATGTGCCTATGAGATTTCCAACCTGAGATGTCAAGCAGGCAGCTGGATAAAAAGTCACGTTTATGGGTCATCGAGAGAAGGAAAATGTAATGTTATGAGTGGAGGGATGGGGTGGGAGGGCATGGCCTGTGTGGCAGAGCCATGTATGAACGCCGAGGATACAGACTCCCAGGGGTGGTCAGATGGTCATGTGATCTAAATGAGTGACGGGGAACCGAGTGCAAGCTGGAGTCGGGGGTAAGGAAAGAGGACCCCTCGCCTCATTCCGACTCCAACCCTCTTCCCAGGATCCCCTTCAGCAGCGAACAGCCTGGGCCATCAGCCAGCTGGCCACCAGGAGGTACCGGGCTGGCTGCAGGAGGGCCCGGGCTGAGTGGCCAGACTCGGGTAGCAGCTGTAGCTCAGCTCCTGTGTGTGCCATCTGCCTGGAGGAGTTCTCTGAGGGCCAGGTAAGGCAGGGCTGTGGTTCCCCTCGGACCAGGCTGGAGAGGGAGGCTGGAGCTTGTGAGGGGAGTCACTTAAGGCTGGTGTGGCTGCTTGGGCTGCATCTGTGTCCTGTGCATCCTGCACGGACAGCCCTGAGGTTTGGTTATTTTCCTGGTCTCCAGGGAAAGAGAACCACTGTTTGTTGAGTGTGTACCCTGTGCCAGGCTCTGCAGTGGGCATTATCTCATTTTAGCCTCATCACTGTGAGAGGTGGGGGTAGATTAATTTTTTAGCCTCATTTTGCAGCAGAAAACTGTTAAGAAACTTGCTCAAGGTCATGCAACTAAGTGGCAAACTCCAGGTGTACTTGATACCAAAGCCTGTGCCTTTTGTGTTCTACTAGGAGGTCTTTGAAAGCAGGTGACAGCAATAGGGAGAGGCCAGAGGGAGTCAGGGATGCCCTGCTTCCTGGCCACTGCTGTAGCTACAGACAACTTTGGTTCAGACCCTTTGTTTTCTCCAGGAGCTACGGGTCATTTCCTGCCTCCATGAGTTCCATCGTGCGTGTGTGGACCCCTGGCTGCATCAGCATCGCACTTGCCCCCTCTGCATGTTCAACATCGTAGGTAGGAGGTGGGCCAAGGACTCTACCGTGTGCAGGCAGAGACGGGTCTAGAAGTGGCTCCCCTGTGCGAAAGTGTTTTGCTTTGAAGCTGAAGAGAAGGCAGGCCTGGCTCAGTGGTTCTTTAAGCTGTGCACTGCTCAAGAGTGCCTCATCCGCAGGGGCCAGCCATTCCATTGCAGACATCTTTACTACGTATTCTCACCACTACACAACTTTGTTGATTCTAAATCTGGGTGATTTGTATATTATTCCGGTTTTCCAGCAATAAAGTATCCTAACGAAACCAGGATATTATGACAATTTTCTAAAAAGTGAAAATGAAGTATCTAGAAAGAGAACCGTTTTCTAATTTACACAAAGGTGCAGTATAGGCTAGCAGTGGCCCCGGGTGAGGGTCCCAGACGGGCTGATGGGAGGAGCAGGGCTTGCCGTGCACAGTGGCACTCCCAGGGAGTGTCCTTGGTTCTCCAAACTGAACTTGAAGGCTATGTGGGCTGTTAGGTCCGCTGCAGCCACACTTTTCTGAACGCATCCTCCTTAGGTTTGTGGAGTCAAACACCTTGCTCTTGGCTCTTTCTTCCAGAGGGAGATTTGCTTTCTCATTCCCTGGGACCCTCTCGATCTTACCAGGAACCAGGCCGGAGACTCCACCTCATTCGCCAGCATCCTGGCCACGCCCACTACCACCTCCCTGCTGCCTACTTGCTGGGCCCTTCCCGGAGCGCAGCGGCTCGGCCCACACGACCTGGTCCCTTCCTGCCATCCCAGGAGCCAGGCACGGGCCCTCGGCACCACCGCCTCCCCAGAGCTGCACATCCCCGGGCTCCAGGCGAGCCACAGCGCCTGGCAGTGGCCCAGCACCCGTACGCGCAGGGCTGGGGGCTGAGCCGCCCCCGATGCACTTCGCTGCACCCCACTGCTTGCCCCGCACCTCCACGCCGGGCCAGGCCTCACGACAGCAGCGGGTCTGGAGAAAGCTACTGCACAGAGCGCAGCGGCTACCTGGCAGATGGGCCGGCCAGTGACTCCAGTTCGGGACCCTGTCATGGTTCTTCGAGTGACTCGGTGGTCAACTGCACGGACATCAGCCTGCAGGGCATCCATGGCAGCAGTTCCACCTTCCGCAGCTCCCTGAGCAGTGACTTTGACCCCCTCGTTTACTGCAGCCCTGAGGGGGGCGCCCAGGGGGAGGAGACCCAGCCTAGTGTGACCTCTCGGCCCCGTTCTTTGGACTCTGTGGTGCCCACCGAGGAAACCCAGGTGTCCAGCCATGTCCACTACCACCGCCACCGGCACCACCACTACAAAAAGCGCTTCCGGTGGCATGGCAGAAAGCCTGGCCCAGAAACTGGAGTACCCCAGTCCAGGCCGGCCATTTTTCGGACACAGCTCCAGCCAGAGCCACTTTCACCTGATCAGCAAGCTGCCAGATCCAACCCAGCAGCCCCTTCCGGGCAGCTCCCCAACCCACAGCGGCCCAGGGCCCTCACCGAGCCAGCTCCCGGACCAGCTGACGCCTCCACCCCCAGCCCCAGTTCCAGCAGCCTCTTCCTCTTGCAGAAATCCAGCCTCCCTGTCCGACACCCACAGAGGAAACGGCGGGGGGGTCCCTCAGAGCCCACCCTGGCCTCTAGACCCCAGAACGTGACTGCACACCCAGCTTGCCAGACTCCTCCTCATTATGGCTCCAGCCTGGCATACCCTTGGTCCCCAGAGGCCCACCCATTGATCTTCGGACCTCCGGGCCTGGACAAGAGGCTGCTACCAGAACCTCCAGGCCCCAATTACCCAAGTTCACAGCCAGTGTGGTTGTGCCTGACTCCACGCCGGCCCCTGGGACCTCACGCATCTGGGGAGGGGCCTTCCGAATGGAGTTCTGACACCCCAGAGGGCAGGCCGTGCCCTTACCCACACTGCCAGGTGCTGCCAGCCCAGCCTGGTGAGTCTTCTGGGGAAGTGGGTCAGGTGGGCAGAGGAGACTAGAGAAGGGTGAAGTCATCTAAGGGGTTGATGGGAGCTGAGAAGGGTACAACAGGGGTCCAAACACTGAACAACTGGCACAGCATAGGGTACTGGCTCTGCCAGGTATTACTCCTTTGGTTGCCATATCTGGTTGAGACACCAGAAAGCACCTGGGGGTGGTTTGGGGCAGCAGCTCAAATGCAGGTGTTTCAATATTTTAAAAATGCATACAGCTCAATATTAGCTATAAATACAAAGAAGGCCAAGAAGTGTTGCTTGAGGAGAGCATGGACACACAGTTACTGAAAACCACAATCCCAGGCCATATGTGATCTTATAGGTGAAATAATTACAGACAACCGTAATTCTGGGCCATAAGAGAAGAGCTATGTGAATGATGCAAAAATGATTCATTGCTTCCTTCTATTTTTCTTTCTGCGTTGTATGCTTGCTATGGGCTAGGTTCCAGGCTAGGCTCTGAGGACATGGAGCTTGTCAACCAGGAGACCCAGGTCTGGTCTGTGGAGAGACAGGCATGCATACTATTAGAGTACAGAAAATAGTTGCTTCCACAGAGCCACGTATTGCAGACTTTGGCCATGTGTCTGATGGTTCCATCTGGATCCTGTCACAAGTGTACCTTCGGTGCTGCCAGTGCCAGGCCACCACCTCCCCTCTGTCCCAAACTCATAATTAGTCTCAGTGTTTCCCTTTTCCTGGCTCTTCAAACCCAGTCAATGGCAGGTTCTGTTAACTGTATCTCTGCTAGCTTTACCATATTCTCCCACACAGGACTGATGGCCCCTGCCCATGTCTTAGGCGCAGCCTAAAGATCGAGGCAGGAGCCTCCTAGCTCCTCCCTTCCCCTCACAGGGCCATTAAGGCTGGGCACTGCACATCCGTGTTGTGTCCTGTAGAGTCATGCAGCATGGTGACCCTGCTCACCACCCTCCGTACTGCTGCTAAGGTCACCCTTCTCAAATAAACTGTCCAGAAATCTTCAAATGTTCTGTTTTGTTCAGAGCCTTGACCTTCAAGGCTCTAGCACCGGCTAGCCCCCATCTTCCTTCCCAACCTGATTTTCCTCTCTTCCCCTTCCCTTCCCCTGCCCCATGCTTTAGCCAAACTAGGTAAACACTTCCTGCAGTTTCTGCAGCGCAGAATATTCGGCTGCCTTCCTATTCCCATAATTCTTCCCTGTCCTGCAGGACCAGCTCATTTACCTCCACTTCCAAGAAGCCCTTCCTGATTGCTCCAATTGGACATGATCTTTCCCCTTCCTCAATTTGTCTCTTGTGACCCCAGTCCTGCCGCATTGGCCTTATTGCCAGTTACATGCAAAGCTTCTCTCCTGCGAGGTTGTCAGGTCCCTGCTTAATATTTTTGGCCTTCTATTTGGCATGTGATACCAGGGCAGGTTCACAAGTGCTCAATAAATATTTATTGGGTGAATGAGTGAATATTAAGTATTGGTAACACACTGGTTGCTATAAATGTATCTCTTTCTCTAGATTTGTTTTTCTCTCCTCTGTGTCCCAACTGAGGCCCCCCTCAGCTTTCAATCTAAACACCCTTTCTGGACCCATTCCCTGCTCCTCCCTCTCTGTAGTTCCCTCCCAGCCATACTCTCTTGCAGGTGGAACAAGCAAGAGGCTGGCCTGACGCTCAGTGACCTCTTTCCATCCCTCTCTCTAAATGCAGGCTCAGAAGAGGAGCTTGAGGAGCTGTGTGAACAGGCCGTGTGAGATGTTCAGGCCTAGCTCCAACCAAGAACGTGCTCCGGAGGACTCGGGGCCCCACCTGGCACAGGGTCCTACTCCTGAGAGAAGAAAGGACCTCCGAAAACACCCTCTTTTTTGCCATACATCCTGGAACCAGTGGAAGAGGAGTGGTGATGGTGGGTGGCAGGAGGTGTTGTTGCCCACTCCCAGCTCCAGACCTTGTCTGCAAACCATCTGTGGGGCAGCAAGTCTGTGTCCAGCAGGCAAACAGCTCCCATGTGGGCTGGCTCCCTTGCAGGCTGGTTTTGTTTTTGTTTTTGTTTTTGTTTTTGAGAGCAGGAAGCTAGGTATGGGTAGACAGGTGTTATAAAGGTGGTGCTCCTTCCTCCAGCCCCAGCAGGTCTCCCTCATCCCAAGCCTCATGTTCATACCAACAAATGGGTCCAGCTGAATGCATGACCCCTTCTCACCTCCTTCCTTGGGAGAGTTGTGCACACCAGCTTTGGCTCCTCCTTGGTAAGGGTACTGCATCAGTGGCATCCCTGGTTCTTATCATTTTCCTTCTTTGCAAAAAAAGAGAAAAAAACCCAGAAGCATAGGTGAGCCCTGAGTCCTAAAAAGAGGGGCTTTGCAGATTCTCCAGGCAGGGCCTGCCCTGGTGCATAAAGGAGGATGTTTTTCCCTTCTTGCCATTACTTGTCAGATCCACTATATTAAGTCACAGGGAAGGCTCTGGGAAGCCAGGGTGTGGAGTTCTGTCCCTCAGCTGGTACAGCATCTTGAAGAGCCTGGGGTGAAGCCTCTGATCTTTAAACTCCCTTGTCACACCAGCAGCACCAGTCCCTCTGGGGGAGAAGGATAGGGGTAGTGGGAAGGGAATAACTCTTCCTTGGAGCTCTATCTCAAAGTTCCAAAGTAGGCAGAAAGGAGAGGATTTCTGCTGAACCTTATTTAGGAAGAGGGAGGAAGGAATGAAGGTAGAAAAGGCAGAATGACAGCTGAACAAAGAATTTTCTCTGGGCGTCTTCTCTCAGTGCAGGGCTGGGGAAGAGGGGAGAACAAAGGAGAAGTAATATGCGGCCCTTGGGATTGGTTGGCCCAGAGACCCAGCTTCCCAGTATAAGCCATTCAGGCCAGGGACACACAGGAAGGAGTGGAGTTGGAGCAGGAAGGCTGGCCTGGGCAGTTGGTACTGAGTGGGCAAGGGCTGAGGGGCCTCCTTAGGGTGACATTCACCCCAGGGCAACTGGACCATTGCTGGCCCCTCAGGCATTATCCCATTTGGAATGTGAATGTGGGAGCAAAGTGGGCACAAGACCCCACCTGGGAATCTTCTTCCCTCAAAAGTCAGTGGGGGACTGGCACCTAGGCACCCACATGGGTATTTATATCTGAACAGACAAGACGCTTGAATCAGGCACTATGTTGAGAAATGTATTTATTTGCTAATATATTTATCTATAAATATGGTCTGGTCTCGTGGTTTTGTTCTGTCATAACTGTCTCTCAGAGTAACAACTTTACCTCCTACATCAGCAGAAATATGTTATTTCTGATACCAGAGGCCAGGCTCTGATTTACGAAAGGACGGAGTAGAGTGGTAGGTTTGGCAACAAGAAGTGGCTTGTAAGTCCCTAAAAGCATGGTTTAGTGAGATCAGGGACAGGAAGCATGACTGGCTTCTCACTGTGGTTCAGTTCGTTAGCTGTGCTATTACTGTACTGCTTCCTTCACATTCTAATTTGTGATGCTTCAGTGACTTTCTTTGTGACCTTGGCCAGATACTCTGTGCCTCACTTTTTCCACCCGTGAAATGGATCGGTTGTCGGAGAGCTCCCATAAGGCAACAGCCTGTTCCAAAGTAGAAAGTATGCAGTGACAGAGAACATCTAAGCCCAGTTACAGAGCCCAGCTGAACACGGCATGGGACCGGCACAAGCAGCACACCGGCCTTGAAGAAGCTCAGTTTCTATGTAGGAGGCCTGGTTGGGAAGATAGAACAGCAGGGCATGAAACTATTTATATCCCAAAGCTCCAAGTCAGATAAACACAAATGACTGCCCTCTGCCTACACATGGGACTGCTGTGAGGATCAAAAGAGCCGGCGCTGTGTCGGTATGAATTCCACAGGGCTGCTCTATTCCTCACAAAGCGCATTTCCCCCTTCTGCCTCTCCGGGAAAGGGTTCGGTAGAGGTGGTGGTTGTCGAGCGCCCAGTCTGAACCAGAGAGCAAGGCATTTAGCTTTCCAAAGGGTGAAATGAAAAAAGAAAAAAAGGACACAAACTCCCACAGAAGAGCTGAGGGAAAGGAACTATACCTAAATGCTAAAAGCTGCACAAAGCATAAATTAACAGCTGGAACGAGGAAACGTACGTAAAGAGTTTTCAAAAATAATTAAATACGCATTTTCCCGGCCGTCCGCTCCCAGGCCAGCATTCCTGTGGACGCAGATGGAAACCCAATCGGGCGCTCGCTGTCAGGAAGGAGAGCGGCGGTCCCCGGATTTCTCTCCGTCTCTGCAGAGATAATCCGGAGGTAGACAGTGGACTCTCTAACCCTGCGCTTTTAAGACAAGAAGACCAAAGAGAATCTCGGCTGTCATCTGGGATCCTCCAGGGAACCAGCAGCCCCCAGCCAGCGGCCTAGATCAAATGGCCCGCGCGCAGGTTTCCGCTCGGGCCGCGGCGCGCTCCTGC